GGTGGCGATGCTGAATAAACGATCAAAACAAAAAAAATTAATTATTAACAATCGTGAAATAAGATCAGTACTTGTTGTGTTTTTTTATCAACAGCATTCTAATGAATCGTTTATTCTTGTTTACGTTTTATTGTCAGCATTTGACAGTTGATAAAAAAAAAGAAGAAAAAGAAAATAAAGCAAAAAAAAATGAACCGAAGTCATGATAGAATTTAATCGATGATTTTCTAAGTCTTCATTCAATACTAAGATTATTACATAATTTAGAACAATAAGTAAAATCTTTTAAAAGTAGAATATATTAACTACAAACTATTTCAGACAAGTGAATTAATAAAAGCATAAGACTCGTCATTCATAAATAGAAAGTTTATAATAGAATAACTTGTACAGGTTGGTAAGTACTCTCAGAAGAAAAAAACTGAATATTTGATTACCAACAATTGGTTTCAATACGTACTTGCCTACTACGTAAAGTTTCGGTCGTAATTTAAAAAGTACATTTGATTACTATTTTATATACCAGCATTTTTTTGTTTACAATTTTATGGAGTAGTAAAAATGCAAAAAGATGTTGTATTTTAGTTTGGTTTTCAACAAATAAATACTTTACTGTCCATATGTGAGAATGATTAAAAAGCAAAAGGTTTAGAAACGAATTTATTAAAATCAGTGCATTCATATGTGAATGGACATCGATCTTGCAATGTGTTTTTTCTCTAACTGAACGAATTTCATGCATTCATGCTAGCTGATTGTTTAAAATAGTTCGATATACAGTAACCTTCTTATTGACCAACGGTTAACTTTACATCTTCAATTTAAAGAAAAAGTTAGGTACGCAACTGAACGAAATATAAACTACTGACAATTTCAACATGAGCTGATAATTTATAAGAGATGAATGGCACTTATCTTTATCCAAAATTTCATGTAGTTCTTCTGAACTGAAGCAACTCGTAGAATGTTTCTGCTGTTATAATTGTTTCACTAATGCACAGGACTCGGCCTATGTTAGTCAAATCAAGTATCGATTTCAATACAAACCTTATATTTTATTTTCGATTCTTAAAATTTTTTCAATTGTTATTCAATGCGCTTTTTTTCACAATTTTAATCATTTTTATGAAACAAAAAAGAAAAGAAAAGAAGTTGAATTTATTCCTTAGACTAACACAAATAACACACATCACAAATTTATTTTATATCTGACAAGAATTCTCTAAACATCATAGAAAGTAACTAATTGTTGTTGTTTCGTCAGTTTGTTGTTGTTGTTGTCGATCAAGACATCGTTCAGCTGCATGTTCAGTTAATGAAAGTACTGAATTAAGAGTTTCTTTTGAAAATAACTATAATAGAAAAGAAAAATGATAAATTAATTTTAAAAGAAAAATTTATTTTATTTACTGAATAAAGTTGTTGTTTACGATTGTCAGATAGAAAGACAATTAAACGAAATGTTTCTTGATCTTCTTTAATTAAATCAAATATACGAAAAAGATTACATGCTAACATTGGAATACATTTATGACGTAAGATTGACGTTTCAATTTGACGACTTTCATTATCTGGTAATGATTGATGAATATTCTATAAATATAAAATGTTTGAAAAAGAAAACATATGTCTATAGATGAAATAACAATACCGTGCTATCAAGTAGCCAACCTTGAGCATAATCAAATACACCATAACAAGCTTTTATCACAATTGGCAAATAAGCTTGATCATCACGTACTATACTAGACGTATTATCTTGTTGTTGCTGTTGTTTTTGATGCATTTCAGACCAACGTTGAATAGCTTCAATAGCTGCCTGAATAAATATCAGTATATTTTTAGTTATAAAGAATGCCTTCTATCTAACTGAGAGTGTGAGTGAGTATCTGAGCGAGAAACAGCACTCACGATCACACCCACACCCTTCTTTTAAGAACAAAAAAATATTCTTACAATATAAGCTCCAAAGGCTTTAAATTCTCGTAGATCATCTTCTGATTGTTGTCGATTATTTGCTTCAATCTAAAATATTTTCAAATGAAAAATTCTAATTATAGATCAAATCTTCAACATACAGTATGAATATCAATATCATGTGGAAAATATGATAAAGCGATACGAATTCCTTCATATTTCGCATCATTAAGAAAATATCGACATATACGATTAGCAAAACGAAGTGCATCTAATGTTTGTGTTGATAAAAATGTTGTTAATAATTTTAATGCTTCTAATTGTTTATGATCATTCTAAATAACGAAAAATATAACATTTCATTTACAAAGATAAATCAATACTTCATTGAGATTTTTTAAATTTGTTGAAATAATTTCATCTGTATTATTCTTATCAAATGTTTGTTCTCGTTGTTGATTAGCAGCAAGTTTTAATAATGATGTATCAATATCAATTTTATATGTAAAACCTTGCTTTAAATAATGTTCTTTATCTTGTCGATTTGATAATGTATCTAAAAATGTTGCCATTAATGTTGCTAAAATACAAAAAAAAAAAATTTTAATTAAAACAAAAAAAGAGAATTCGAAATTTGTTTATACATTGATTATTTAATGGTAATTTTGATATATAATAACAAACAAGATCTTTAAATTCTAATTCAATAAGATGACCAATATATGTTGTTAAAATTTCAATAAAATTTTTTTGATTAAAATTTTCCGAATGATTTTGTTCGTATAAAAATAAACATATATGTGTAGAAAAACGTAATAAACTTCCATTCGATTCATTTGTATGTAAAAATGATAATATACTATCAAATAAACGATCATAATTAGCAAGTATTAAATATTTTTCAATTTGATTAAATGGTAATAATGCTTCATCACGTATATGTGCTGGACAATCAGCTAGAATTTCATCAAATATTGTTGTCATTTTTAATTGATGATTACCAAGTTCATCATTAGAAAGAACACGATGTTTATCAACATCATTTAATTCATTTTGATGAGCATATCTACAAACAAAAGTTCAACTAAAAAAAAAAACAGATTTTCTTCGATAAACATACACAAGAATATGATGAATTTCTTGTTCAATATAACATGAAGTATATGCCCAAAGGTAATCAGCATATGTTTTACATACTGGTATTAAAGCTTCAGTTCGACCACATAATAAACCATAGATTGCTCGTTCATATAATTTTAAACGCATCTAAATAAATGTTTACATTCGTTTAAATTAAGAAAAATAGATCCCGAGAGTAAGATATTGTCCCAAAATCCGGAAAATTTTATAAAAAGATTCAACAGTTTATTTACCAAAGAAGCATGTACAAGAAAAACCATTTGATTTGGAGAGAGGTGACGTAGTTCATTTTTTACTAGCTACCAATAAAGAAAGTCCCACGAGATCGATCGGATCGTCCTCGAAATATTTGGCAAGTAGGACTATGAAAGCTCAGGTTCAGTTCTTTCGGTAGCCGATAATTATGGTTGACGTGGACAACCATAAATATTTACGAAAGAATATTATCATTCTCTTCTGTTAGAACGATATCAGAGATTTTCCGGATTTCAAGACATATTCGAAAGTAATTATATGATGGTAATAAACTTACATCCATACACAATTCAAACATGCTTTCAATCCATTGAATACGTTTTTGATTTCCTTCGACAGGAAAAACAATATCATTTGCTTCTGAACAATAATAATTTTCATCATGATATAATTCATTTGCACTTAATAAAGCAGCTAACCAATGATAACCAGTTGATTTACATAAGTTTTTAGCCTTGAAATCAAAAAACGATTTTATTATTTCTTGGTTTATATTTTAAATAAAAAAATTACTTTTGAATATTCACCAACACGTAATAAAGAAAAAACTATTTGAAGTAAATCATTTTCTTCTTGTTCATCAGTATCACATAAACGTCGTTTTTGTTTATGAGCAGCATCAAAATCCTATTAGTATATTTTCATGTCAATATTATTTAGAATTAATTCTTACTAAACAAGTGATATATGGATTAGGAATATTTGCATTATATGATGATTTAAGAAAATGACATGTTTTTTCCCTAAATAATAAAAAAAAAGAATTTTTTATCAATAGATATTAAATCAATAAACAAACCAATAAATTCTTTTTGGTTCTAGTTTAGTCATAGCCATTTTAAGATCTGTTTGATAACGTTCATCAAGTTTTGTTGTTTGTAACCATCCTTGTACAGCTTTAGCCATACGTAATTGAGGATTATTTAAAAGATGATGTTCAACAATTAATCGATCACTACTACCCGGAATCTGATTATCAAAAAACGATATATATATACATTCAATAACATGAAAAATTCTAATAATATTTACCACTTCAGGAAGATCTTGTCGAGTATTATTTAATGTATCACGTGCTCGATTCCATAAAAGCCAACTATCACGTTCGATTTGTAACATACGAATATTTTGAGATAATTGCCTAGAGAGAACATATGACTATTTATATGGAAGAAAATCAAATTCTTCTTACGATTGTCGACCGGTACGAAAAGCAATTGGATGAGAAATTTCAGCTTCAGAACAACATTTTTGACAATTAATTGTCATCATTTCAACCCAACTACTCCAGTCGTGTGTTACTTCTGAATCAGCTAATGCTTGAGCATATAATTTATACAATTGTTGTTCGGCTAAAATCAAATACATAAAATATTCACACTAGTCTACAAAGCTGTTATATTCGACTGTCGATGTTCACTGAATTTAACACATGAAGAAATTTTTTATTTTCTAGGCAACCAACGTATATCTAACATTCTCTTATATCATCCTTATTTGTTTCAGCTGATTTATTGGAAACTAAAAAAAGAAAACAATGATTATATCATACATTTTGTGACACATGGAATAGTTTTTGATGAACGTATTGTTGTATCATTAGGTGACCACTAGAATAATACTTCAAATAAATAGTTAAATATATTTCTGACTTTCTTACATTCGATGATCTTATTAAACGAGTACTTTCAAGTGGTTGATAAAAACTTCCATCAATAACTAAATTAAAATTATATCTTTCTTCGAAAAACAATATTTATATATATATTATTTTACCTGTACTTTCGACATTCATGGTTGATTCACTCATTTTTTTTACAAATTTACTTTTTATTTCTGAAAAAAATGTATTATCAAATTGACCAATATATTATTCATATAAATGATTCTAATTCAAAAATTTAAAAAAAAACAAATTATCATTATTCTATCAAAACAAAGAGAGAGAAAAAATCACACAGCAACAAAAGTGGCTAAATCAAAGATCTGATACTGAGTATAAATAATAAACACAAGAAGAAAAAAAACAATCTAGTTAAACAAGTTGTTTATTTCCAAACCAAAATGATCCAACAAGACTTTTTATTTGAGCACCATAACTCTAAAATAAATATTTATCAACAATCAACTTATTCTCATACAAATTAAACTAACTTTTGTTGTTTCCACTTGTTTAGCTGCTTGTGGATGAGCATCAAGACATTTTTGATAACGTAACTAAAAAAATATTAAAATCAAAATTAAAAAGAAACAAACTAAGAATAGAAAATGCCTTACTTTACAAGCAACTTCGATATTTTTACAAAGTTGAACACATGATGGTAAACAATGAAAAACATGACATTTAAATGAATTATCAGCACAATGTATTATTATACCACAAAAACTAAACACAATTTCATTATTAAAAATAGGAAAAAACAGAAAGAATATTTACGCTGGATCTTGTCCAACACCAAGAAATGATAAATAACGAATACGACAATCAAGTAGTTGTTCTTTCGAGTCATTATTTGATGAAATAGTAAATGATGCAGGTGAAATATTGACTATAACTGAAATCCATTTATCTTGTGGAACTGTTGTTGACACTTTTTCAATAGCTGGTCGAAGAATCTCCATTCCACCAGGTTTATCTACATAAACACACCCTAAATAAGTACATAATAAATCATCGGATGGTTCTGCCATGGGAGTTGGAAATGAAACTAAACATTTAATTTAAAATAAAATAAAATAAAATAAAATAAAGAAAAAGATAAATATTCTTACTATTGATATTATCATTGGAAGATGATTCTGAAAAGAGTTTTGATCTATAAATAAATCAGAAATAGAAATAGAATTTTGATGGTTTTTGTCAGTTACTGTTTATGTATAGATAGATTATCATTTGAGATTTCATTTGTTTTAGTTAATAATCCACGTTCAATCATGAGATTTCGACATATATCACGTAATGTATTAGCAATGATTCGTGCTGATGTATTATCACATCGAAAAACATGACATTTATATATTCGAACTGATCGATCTTTATCTTTTGCAACATAAGCAAAATCTCTATAAAAGAAAATGAGAAGAATTTAATTTACTGATTAAATAAAAAGTGAAAGTGTAAAACCTTGCATTTTCTCTTCCAACACCCCAAACTCGAATAGATGGTATTGCTTGTTTATGTAAAATAGTCATTTCACTTGGATCAATCAAAAGAAGATCAGTATTATTTATATCCATATAAAGATCTTTTCCTTCACCCCAACGACCGATGCCATCATTCATGCCACGTGTTAATTCATAAATACAACGATTAACAGTTTGACTACTTTGTTCAGTTGTTAGATCTTCTTCATTAATAATTGTCCAACCAAGCGAACGAACATGAAAGCGATGTTGTTGAGTAGTTGTATCCATCGTCTAAGTATAGAAAAACAAACTCATAGTATAATAAATGCAAAAATGAAAATATTTCTTTACTTTAAATGAGAGGTCTGAGTCACTTTTATTTAATAATAAATTAGATTCATAACATGTATCATTTAATGATGATGATGATGATAATGAAAGTGTTGATGATGGAGAATCAATGATTATTTCTGGATGTGCACGTGTTACTGTACCAGTTCGTTTATGCCAATAATAAACACCTTCTTCATCTAATTAAACATTTTTTGTTTTCATTCTATATATTTTTGTTGCTATTAATTAAATTGTTACCTTCGAAACGTTCCCAACCTGCGGGCAGACTTGTATCGTCGACATCCTAAAATACAACAAACAAAAGACCTTGATCAAAAACAAATGACAAACTATGATGAATACAAACAGTTGTTGTTTCGTCCATATTTATTTGTATTCCACTATCAGTTGAATCAGTTGGCGAAGAAATATCACACTTTCTATGCAGAGAGAGAACAATATTAATGTTTAAATAAAAAAAACAAAAGCTTCTTACTGATTTAACTGACATTCATTCATACTTATAAATAAAAATATCAAATAAATCTAAATAACATTCTTTTCTAGTTATTTGTAAATAAATCATTCGACTGATGTTTTATATATGTAAATATTCATAAGATTGATAATTTCATTTATATACTATATTATATGATATCGGAAATCTCACTTTTTCAATTGTAATATGGTAAAGAACGAATGAGAGATTAATGAATGTTAATGTATATATATATGGTTGAAATGTAATTGGAGTTCTGTTTGAAGCAATTAAATGCATTGTAGATAGCGCTCGATATGAAGAAAAATAGTAGAGTAGGCAATTTTTGCATATTATGCTGATATTTAGGAAAAATTAACTTCGTCATTAACTATAAAAAAAAGGTGTATAGATTTTTCGATGAGATATTCCGAATGACATTCTCATTGCGTTTACAGTCGTTACACATTATAAATACATTTATAGATTCACTATTAAGCTTTTTTTTCTCTTTTTTGACATCTTTTCTATTTTAAAGGTTTTTTCCAAATTTTGTTCAAAAACATTTAATTATACTAAAGTTAAAAAAGGAAAAGCTAACTTCAAAATGATATATAAGTTGATATTCTTAATATCAACTATTTCCTAGATATAGATTCGCTGAACTTACAAAAATCTTTGTTACAGTTCTTAAATATTTCTTTGGATTAAGTTGCACGAATGAAGTATGAATGAAGGTATAGCAGTCATAGTGAAATCAATCTATTTTGCACATAATGATATCTTTTTAAAACTCATAATTAATTCATTGATTTTAAGAATATTAATGGATAAGTGGAAGGAACAAAGCTTAAAGTAAAAGAATAAAGCTCGATCAATTTCTATAATATCCTATGTCATCTTAGGAAAACAGAAGATACCAAGGTATCTGAAAATATACAAGAAAGTACTTTTTTTTTTCGATCATCCGCCGTCGACGAAGTATCATCACATTGATGAAGTCGTAAATCAGTTTTCTCTCGGATTATGGTAAACGTGGGTGTGGGTGTGTTCTGTTTCTTTTTGTCAACATCCATGCTAACCCTACACCTTGACCTACATATACCCGCGCGCACGCCAATCCTCGGATTTCCAAAGAAAACTTGAGGCGAAACGCCTACAATGGGCCCGTGTAAAGTGAAATACACTGCTTTAATGTACAAGTAATATGTAACAACACAGATAACGACAAAAAACAAAAAAAGAAAAAACATCACAATAAAGTATTTTTTGCACTTATATGAGCACTAGAGTTTACATCTCTATCTTAAATGTGATAATAGTATTATGAAGTAAAGGTGAAAAATAATGAAACATGATACAAGGACATATAAACTAAGAAATTTTGAAAAAAAGAGGCAAAGGTGATGCAAATAGATAAAGATGAATGGTCAAAGGTAAGTACAAATAAAAAGAAAAAAGAAAGAAAATGGAAAAAGCATTTAGTAAAAGTATAACCTTTTGAAGGGTTATGAAATATACTATGGATTTGTGAGAACATTCATGTAACCGAAAATTATAAAGATTCATTTATTAATACTTTAGATAACCATTTAAACATGTTAGTACTAATTCGAGGAGAAATGTAATGAAAATCGCTAATAAGCAAATCGTAGGTACTTTTTGATTACTTTTTTCACGAATCCAAGTGAGTTGCGCACAGTAATCTAGTTCGTGTGACGGATGCTCTGAGAACATTTGTTTATTTTCTTCAGGAATTAAGCCTTGCTCGCTCAATATTTATACATCGTATGTTAATTTTACTGATCTTTAATTTGGCCGCTCTCTACAATTTATTCATATAATTATAGACACTTTCAGCATTGTATTAAAAACGGAAATACACATTTAAGAAGATCATCTAATGTTCCTAAATCGCCGAACTGTAAAAACTTAGGAACATGGATGTAATTGTTGATGTTAGTCATGATGAGCGACGCTGATGTGGAGAACTCAGGCTGATGAATTCGACACTAGATCTGATCGGATCCTATACAAAACCCGTTGGAATCCGATAGGATTTAGCAAAGTACTGAAGGATCCTGTAAGATTTCGTTGGAATTCGAGTGACAAAAGTACTCTCGGATCTTTCCGGTCGGATATGATCGGATTTCGCCGGAGATCAAGAGAAATTCAACAAAAGCTCCATTATCAGGATGCGTGAATAGTTTTGTCACTCGGATTCCTATCGAATATTGTCGAATGGTCAGATCTGTTATCGAATTTATTCACTTGGAATCACATCTTTTCATAAAAGCTTCATTCTACCTATGTCAAAAAATTCTTGTTACTCCGAGAAAAGTTGACAATCCAGGCATATAAAATTAGAAGGGGATCATAAACAGGAATGAAACTAGCACTGGTTAACGGTCAGTTACTAGTCTGTCAATGACTGGCCGACCTATCTTATTTAATTTTCTGCTTCTATCATATCTAACTTCTTGCTTACTCAATACTTTCTATTCTACTTATTCAGTATTCTTGACTAATGTAGTATTTCTTATAATAATCAGCTTCTTTTCTAGAGCTCTTCGAATATATCGAAAAATTCTACAGAAACATGTACCAATACATCTGGTATTATATCATAGCTACTTTGATATGGCTTCCAGGTTTAACAGCTTTATTGATATTGTTTGGCTCATGGGAATACATTACAGTTGCTGTTACCATATATGGCTCTATGATTTTGACTGCATATATCTTGCGCATCATTTCAACGAAAAAAATGATCAACGCATTCAACCGTTTTTTACTTAACGTGTTTGTCACATGGCATGCTTTCGGAAATACTGAAACATGGCTGAATAGTAACGAAGATTATACTAGCAATACGATCATTGCATGTCATCCACATGGACGGTGGCCATTTAACCTTATTTATCAGCTTTGCCATCCTCGTCTTGCTAATATATGTATGGCAACTCATACTGGTTCCTTTTTTGTGCCCGCAAATGCTATAATTATGGCTCTCTTGGGAAAACATAGATCTACGACGGCAAGCAAAATAAATATCATCAAAAAACTTCAAAAAATACCCGTAGCTATTGTTCCTGGTGGGGCTCATGAATCAATGTTATGCAATCCCAATGAGAAAAATGTTATTCGCTTATATACAAAACACATTGGATTTTTAAAACTAGCAATGGAAAATAAATCCAAGGTGGTGCCTTGTTTCACTTTTGCGACACAATTTGAGTACAATAACATATTACGTGTCGTAGATTCTTTTTTATTTGATACAATAGGTGTTCCTCTGAATTTTCTAATTCCGATGGAAAAGGTAGCACCGCTTCTTGTTATGGGTAAGACCTTGAATTCATGGGAATTCACATCTTTGGATGAACTCAAAAGTGCATTCTTTAACGAACTCAAATGTATTTTTGAAGAAAATAAAAAAAATGCTCGTGGATTTGAGAAGGCGGCCTTGGAATTTGTCGAAGAAAATGGCAGTAAATCATATAAAGTAAATTTTACTGTACGTTGTGTGATCTTACTTGGCGTGATATATATTTTAAAGCAAATGTTAACTATCTGGAAATATAACCAATGGTTCCTATATTATATGGTACCGATGCTACCAGTGACTAGTCCAACGATAATATGTGTACATGCAATATCTTCACTAATATTTTGGCTGCTGTGTTACGTTCAAGTATTATCAAAAAACATGAAGTATCATAAAATAATTCGAAAATTCGTATTTTATTTGTGGTTTGCAGTATGCATGCCAACTGGTCTATATCTTGTATGGCACGCAGTGAATACGCAAGAATATGTTGTTTTCAAAGCACTAGTGTTTTTAAATTTTATGGAGACTCTTTCGGGCGTATGCTATATGCTCGCTAAAGGAATCTTCATATTCAAAAGAACAGACAAACCTCTAGCGGAAAAAATTTCTGGTCACAGAGCATATTTGGGAAAGGCATTGATAATTTCGCACGTCATACTCTATCCACGTATACTTTATGCTATTATCAAACTATTTTTTGTTATAAATAACATTGAATTTGTGTACGGTATTGTTAATGGTGTTCTTACAATGCCCCTGCTGTTGTGGTTAATGGCAAAACTAACTGAAATATCTTTTAAAAATTTCTTACTAATATTCATCCGGTGGATAGTATGGATGAGTCTTCCATTGATAATTTTCAAATAAATTGTTTAGACCATCATTTAATTAGTCAGATATATATATGAAACAATTAGTAGGCAAATACTAATGAAATCAATGAAATAAGTGAATGGCCGGTAGAATACATGAATGGTGAAAGTAAGAGTTAATCAATCGATTAATAAACAAATTCATTTAGATTTTCTTCACTATAGGCCAGCTTACTAGTCGCAATTTTTGCTTCTCGGAATGAAAAATTGTTAAGTATTTCAATGCTTTTCAGTTGAGATATAGTGTATCTTGCCGATCTTGATGAACTATATGTATCATCGAAAGACTTAGTACCGATGATTTTATCGGATCAGAATTCATTATGAAATCTATCTAAGAAATTTACTTCTTAAATTCTGTACCAAGTATGGATGAGGGTATGTATGTGAAAGAAGTCATGCGTAAGATTTTGTGTGCAGGTGTGTCTGTACGAACGTCGATATCTCTTCTGTTCAACCACATCCACTCTTGCCAACTCTTTTACATATTGTTTTGAAAAATATGTTCGCTCAAAAAATGATCTTCATCACGACAGACATGATTGACTCATGTAATTGTAAACTAATGAATCGATAATTGAAAGATATTAGTTTGGGTGTGGGTGTGGGTGGATATCATATCCATCTATCACTCTCCCTCATCCATAGCCATACACACACCCTCACACACACACACATACATACATACAAACCTGTACCCACACCCACACCCACACCCACACCCACACCCGCACCTATTCATACATGAAAAAGCGACGACTAATCCCCTAAACATGAAACACATAAGAGCAGAAGAGAACTATCTCGATTTAAATCTTAAATTGTTAGAACGATCCTCCACAGAGAAAGCTATAGTTGTGTGATTGCTTTGAATTACTTATCTCTTTCATATACCTCTGTGTGGATGAGATTAAACTCAACTGATGAGTCCCTTAAGCAAGGACGAAACGCGTCTTGAGAGCTTCATCTCCTTAATAAATGAATTTTCATGCAGAAAATATTAAACAATAGAAATTAAATTCTTGCTTCTCGTGAAAACATTATACTTACTTTTCGTTCTGACTACGTATAACGGAACTATACAGTGTATGCTTATTGTTTGACTCACTATCTCATTATTGAATATACAACTACGCAGTTCTGTATACAGAGAGAAAGAAGGAGAAAAAAATATGTAGTTAGTTGCTGATAAGGAGCTCTATTTTTTCTTCTTCATCTCTATCCAAGTTAACTGTAGCTGATAACAAGAAAGATTTTCGTGCTTCGTGCAAAATTTCATTCTAAAAGACATTATATAATAAAGCTTCAACAAAATGATCTACTCATTACACACACTACCGATAGAGATAGTTTACCGAATTTTGGATAATCTGGACATCAAAATCATTACCTTCTCATGTTTCAATATATGTCTAAGACTCAATAAAATTATTGATACATACAGTCAATATGGAGTAATTCTTACTTTTCATTTTACAAGAAACGTGAATAATACATGATTAAATTCGATTTAATAGACACTCAAGCAACTTAATCTACGGAACAATGGAATTGGAGCTCAAGGAGCGCAACATCTAAGCGTTGTATTACGATACACTACAGTAGAGTTAATATTCCATCTACATTGATTATTCAAATGTTTTTTACATTCTATAGATATTGGTCGAACTTAATCTCTCCAACAACGGAATCGGAATCCAGGGAGTGCAATATCTAAGTGATGCACTACGATATAATACAGTTTGATAAATAGTCTCCTATTCTGCATTATTAAACATCTTTTTATTTTATACAGACACTCAAACAACTAATTCTCTCCTTCAATTTAATCCAAGCTGAAGGAGCGAAATATTTGAGTGATTCATTAAAAACTAACACAGTAAGATAAATGTATTCTATGTTCATTCATCGTTCTACTCATTTTTATTCCATATAGACACTCACAGAACTTAACCTCTCCGACAATGGAATCAAGACAGAAGGTGCGAAATATTTGAGTGATTTATTGAAAAGCAACAAAGTAAGACAAATACTTTCGCATCATGTATCGATGAAGTGTTTATTATTTCATACAGACGCTAACAAAACTCAATCTTGCCAACAATAGAATGACAAATGAAGGGATAAAATATCTGTGTAATGCATTACAACATAATACAGTAAGATAAACATTTTTTTCATTACTCAATTCTTCTCTCTTATTTCATACAGACACTCATAGTACTCAACCTTTTCGGTAGCAATGGAATCGACAGTAGAGGAGCACAGTATCTGAGTGATGTAATACAAATCAACAGAGTACAATAAATATTCTTTTTTCATTCCTCATCAATCTCTTTCTTATTTTGACGTAGTCACTCATAGAACTCGACTTTGGCAGCGATCCTTACGGGCGCTATGGAGAAAACAATCATATCGGGTCATATGGTGCTCAATATCTGAGTGATGCATTACAGCACAATACAGTAAAATAAATATTCTTCTATTATTCAATTGTTTCTTATTTCAAACAGACACTAACAGAACTTAATTTATGGGGCAATTGGATAGAAGCTAAAGGAGCGTTATATTTTGGTAATGCATTGATACACAATAGAGTTAGACAAAAAACTTTTACATTATCTATCAGTAAATTCTTTCTAATTTCATACAGACACTCAAGAAACTTGACCTTGAACATAATTGGATTAGAGAAGAAGGAGCGAGACATTTGAGTCGTGGATTAGAACATAATACAGTGAGAATAAATACTTTTCGATTACTCAAGTCTTTCGTGTATTTCATAGACACTCACACAACTCAATCTCTGCGAGAATGATATCGAAAACAGTGGAGCAATATGTCTGAGTTATGTATTAGAAAAAAATACAGTAAAATAAATATTTTTCTATTATACATTATTTTATTTCATTTCATGCAGGCACTTACAGAACTCGACATATCTTTTAATAGAATTAAAGAGGAGGGGATGAGACATATAGCTAATGCACTACAAAATAATACAGTGAGATAAAGACTCTTCCATTACTTATCATTCAACTCTTTATTATTTTAAACAGACACTAAAGGTGCTGAAGCTCAGATCGAATGCTGTGGAAAGTAGTCAAGCAGAATTTTGGATTGCATTGAAAAAAAAGAACATTTGGTTAAAGCTTTCTTTTTTCGGATGATTGAAAAACGAGCTTTCTATCATTTTATCAAAACAAAAAGATGAAACTCTTCTATATCGATATTACATGCAATAAAAAACGTTAATGATCGTCATATTCATTAGTGATTGTACTCGTCAATTAATAGAAAAATAAAAATAAATTGTATCACATTTATAATCAGTGAAATTTCGTAACCTTTGTTGTTTAGTATTGATAAACGTCATTTTCCATTAGTCTTCCTCTGGTGTGAAATTCATTACCGCCCTCCCTTGAGATGGTCAGTTGATGGTGAAAGATTATGATATATACTAAAGCTAATCTCGTGTTCGGAAGGCGATATATGAAATAAACCAAACTCTTGCGCTCAAAATTAAAACAATTGATCTGTACAGGTTGATTCTGTTATTTTTAGTAGTTTTGTGTAAGTTGCTGTATTCATGTAAAACATCGGAAGTTTCTTATTTTGATACAGTTGGATAGAGCATCGACTACTCTATGAAACCATATAGTTTATATTTTATTTTCTTTGGTTCTAGTTCAAAAAAATGATGAATCTCGAAAAGCATCAAAAAAAATTTCAGGCAGCAAATTTGATAACTGATGGGGCAGGATAAATGCTCGCGTTTTTTATTTCATCTAATACATTTCATTAAAAAACAAAATATACCATAAGATGCAGCGTGAACAGTTCTACAAGCTACAACGTAAAGCTTACACTTGCTATATTTTCAGAAAAAGCAAAACTCTGTGACACTAAATTTCGCCGTTGTAAGAAACCATCTTGAGTGGGTATGGGTAAAAAGAAAGAGAACACATTTATCCTCTTCAATTTAATTTATTTTACGTCATCCGAATGAATCAAACCAACGAGCAGTAATTTTTTATTTAGTATTATTTTTATTTTTACTAATTTTAGGATGTTTAACTAAATCAAATTGGTGAACAATAGGTATTTTGCTTATAACAGACTTTATTTATTCAAGTTCAGATTATCCTGATCGATAAACAGTGAGTATATTCATTTTAATATCATTGTTTTTGTTTTGGATCGCTTTGATCGATTAAACAATCCACATGGTAAGTATATTTAGTTAAGTTTTTTTTATTTTGATACAATTTATTCTTTAATTTTAGATTCTTATTTATTTATTAATGAAGAGTAACAATATTGTTTAAATGATTTGGTCTTTTAGTTTTTTTACTTTAAAATATTTTGTTCTGAAAAGGAAATACGACAATTAAGCGGGAAGGGATGGACGAAAAAACGATGCTAATGATGTTGGTGCTATATTGTCCGAACATGATCGTTTAAGAAGCTGATAATGCTCAGCACTTGTCATGGTGTTTTAATATAGAGTTAGGTCTTTTTTATCTTGACTTTGTTCTGAGGATTAGATATCGAAATACACCACTAGGCGTACCAACCTGTTAAAATCACAAAGTGTAATTTCTGAGGCTGTCCCGTGCTATGGAGGCCGCTTGATATAGATATCTAAAAGAAAATCTGCTTATAGAAGATATATATCGAAGTACTTTTTATAATGGATTATCAGAAATAATTATTTATCATTTTGATTTCATACAATTCTGACTATTAATATATAATGATCCCATTGTTCATTGCTCACGCATTGATGCGTATTCTTTATATATTTCACTAAGTTACTATCCACTGTTTTTAACCGTTTATTAAAGTATTTCGATAAATTGTTCAGTAAGCCTTGACATTTCCTATTTCATATTTATGCTGTTACAGTATATCTAATCTAGATAAATGATTTTCTATACTAGATCGTAGAAGTTATTTAGCATGCTTTTAATAATGATAAAGATTTCGTTCGAATTTTCTACCTTTCCTCTCTATTTATTCTTTACAACGACAGCCAGGATTGAACTAATAACTATGCTGTGTATTATAGAAGTTCTAAAAGAAGTTTATTTAGTAGAATGCTTATAACATTTTAATAAAGGTGATGAGATATTTGCAATTTTTATCATTTGAAAGAAGGAATCGAAAGACGTATAACAATAGAGAAAGCAAGGTTTTCTCGAGACTTTCTTCATGCCAGTTTTTGAAGATGCGATTTAAAAAATTAGCGGTGCTTTTAAAACAAAATCCCCCTTTTAGTTTCTTCGGCTGGCCTAGTACTTTGAAGAACACTCTTGAAAATTTTATCTAAGTAATCGGTGGGATTGCTTCTTTCGTGGAGTTGTAGCTATTTTGTTTAGATGAAGATGTATAAGATTTTTCGCGAGTAAGAGAGAAAGCATTCAGAACATAGAATATCGAGTATGTTGATCAACACGGAAGTATTTATTTTAGATTTAGAGAGAGAGTTTTCAAATCAAGGATATTTAGGAAAACTCTGATTTCTCTATAGTTATACGTATCCCAGTCTCTTGTTTCGAATGATGAAATCTGAAAGTCTCTAACTATTTTAGTTAATAACTAACAAGCATTTTACCCAATGTCTATCTTTTAAAATTCCAATAATAGTTAATTCATTTTAATTATCATCGCTGCTTGTACCTTTCATTAAGACCGTCTTCACTTTTTGTCGAAAATAATTAGGATATTTATATGTAAAATAATACATAGACCAGAACAGACAGATCAATTCTACTTCTTCTAGGCCTGTTTAGATCTCTATTGAAGTTATAAGCTGTATTAAAAAACAAAAAGTAGAAAATGTGAGCTGGGTGTGGATGAGTGTAAGATACAGACAATACAACCACACCGTTCTACAAGAATATAAAATTTCTATAATCTCGTACAATCAAAATATTTCCTTTTCACAGTTCAACTTTGGACAGTGTGTTTCTCGATATCTTTACTTTTCAACATTATTTAACTGATTTATTTCTAGAAAAAAAATGTATTATCAAACTGACCAATATATTATTCATATAAATGATTCTAATTCCAAAATTTAAAAAAAAACAAATTATCATTATTCTATCAAAACAAAGAGAGAGAAAAAATCACACAGCAACAAAAGTGGCTAAATCAAAGATCTGATACTGAGTATAAATAATGAATACAAGAAGAAAAAAAAACAATCTAGTTAAACAAGTTGTTTATTTCCAAACCAAAATGAGCCAACAAGACTTTTTATTTGAGCACCATAACTCTAAAATAAATATTTATCAACAATCAACTTATTCCCATACAAATTCAACTAACTTTTGTTGTTTCCACTTGTTTAGCTGCTTGTGGATGAGCA